GCAGGAAAATCACTTCAACTCAGGAGGTCACAGTTGCTGTAAGCTAGGCTGACAGTACAGCACTCTAGCCTGGTCAAGAGAGTGAGACTTTGTCTCCAAAAAAAGAAACAATTGGTAAAATAGATTGGGCACAGTGACTCACACCTGTAATCCCTGCAGTTTGGGAGGCTAAGGGAGGAGGATGGCTTGAGCCCAGGAGTTCAGGGCCAGCCTGAACAACATAGTGAGGCCCTCAACTCTAAAATGAAAAAATAAAAGATTTCACAAAATGCATGGTAGTTAAGAGCTTTAGCTCTAAAGTCAGATAAATCCAAGTTCAAATCCTAACTTTGCCATTTCCTAACTATATGACTGTTCAGAAACTAACTGTACCCTATATCTTCCTCCTAAAATGCATCTAATTTAGTACCTATTTCAGAAGTTTTCTTCCTATTTTTATGGACATTGAAAGAAAATAACTTTTCAAATTTGTACATCAGTGGAATTGATACAACAAAGATAGCCTAATTCTATTAAACCACCAAAAAATCTTCTCCACTGTTACATTTAAGATTATTTCGTTCATATAATAAAATATTAACATTATTGTTTTTGATACTTGAGGCCTAGCTGATAGTCAAAAATGTCAACACTAAAGTGACTAAAAAGTCCCTGCTGTTTTTTTTATACCTGGCAGTTTCTGGTTAACAAAATTTGGATTTCACTTGCCTAATGAAACTTGATCCAATTAGTGGCTTTTTAATAAAAAAGATTAAACTGAATATCTATCCTGCATGATTTTATTTTTCCTTTAAGAGTAGGAGCTATGAGGCTCGGTGCCTGTAGCATAGTGGTTATGGTACCAGCCATGTATGCGGAGGCTGGCGAGTTTGAACCTGGCTGGGGCCAGCTAAACAACTGCAACAAAAAAATAGTGGAGTGTTGTAGGGGAGCGACTGTAATCCCAGCTACTTGGGAGGCTGAGGCAAGAGAATCGCTTGAATCCAAGAGTTGGAGGCTGCTGTGAGCTGTAACACCATGACACTGTACCATGGGTGAGATAGTGAGACTGTCTCAGTAACAACAATGACAAAAAAATAATAGGAGCTATGGTAGTTATCTATTAAAAATTAGTATTTTTTGGCTGGGTGTGGTGTCTCACACCTGTAATTCTAGCACTCTGGGAGGCTGAGGTGGGTGGATTGCTTGAACTCACGAGTTTGAGACCAGCCTGAGCAAGAAAAGTGAGACACCCCCACCTCTGTCTCTACTAAAAATAGAAAAAAACTAAGGCAAGAGGATCCCTTGAGCCCAAGAGTTTGAGGTTGCTGGGAGATATGATGCCATAGTACTCTACATAGGGCAGCAGCTTGAGACTCTGTCTCAAAAAAAAACAAAAATTAGTATTTTTCCTTATTTGCTGTGATTTTTCAAAACTAGAATACATAAAAAAAAAAAATTTAGGCTATGTGAACAGATTTCAATATTATCAGAAATTCCCAGATGGTATTTGTTTTGTTTTACAGTGTTGTTTGTTCAATTATGCAATTATGTGCATTTTGTATCCATTTAAACTTTCATTTGTTCTTTCCCCTTGATAATGCTAGCAAGCATTCTGATAATATTGTTATGCACTGACAAGAGTTCCAAAACGATACTTCTAAATTCAAAGGAAAATATACAAAGCAAATACTGATCATCTACTTATAGAAAAGCTGTATTTTTCTACGTTCTATGTACAGAATAAAAACTTTAAGTGACTTTATTTTCTACCATAATACTCTCTGGGTAATCATCACAGCAAGGCTTTGTTTTCATGTTCTCCAAGATTAAAAAAAAAAAAAAAGTCTAAGACAATATCTGAGAGGCAGCTTTATTTAAAAGGAAAACAAAATTAAATTTCTTGGCATATGAATATTATACCCACTTTCTTACATTATTTGAGCTATTATTTCTGATGCTCTGTTCCACTCCCTCTGCTAGAAATAACTGCATTTTTATCCCACTGTCAAACCAATTATGTACGCAAGTCTGGCTCAAATGTTGCTCTTCTAGAATGCCTTTCTTGACAAGCCAACTTGCTCGCCCCAATTCTAATTCCTCCTTTTTCTATGCTACCTTTCTACTTTACATCTTTCTTTGTGCTTAGGACACTGTAGTAACTAAATTTTAAGGAGTACCTCCGTGTAAATGTGATCTTTTTGAAGGTAGTATACATGTCTTAGACATTTTTTTTTTTGAGACAGTCTTACTATGTTGCCCTGGGTAGAGTGCCATGGGGTCACAGCTCACAGCAACCTCTAACTCTTGGGCTTAAGTGATTCTCTTGCCTCAGCCTCTCAAGTAGCTGGGACTACAGGCGCCTGCCACAATGCCTGGCTACTTTTTTTTTCTTTTGGCAGTTGTATGTGAGTGTATGTGTCTGGCACCACATACTGTGCTACAGGCGCCAAGCCCAGCTTACATTTTTGTTTTCTCCCCCTTCCTTCCACCTGGTGTATAGTTGAGTCTTCTCTCTTACCTGACTTACTTAGCAATTAGGTATACCTTGAGCCCAATTTTAAATTTAGGAAATTTTATTGTTAAACAGCAAGAAAAGGAATTTCTTTAAACTTTATTTGATGTGGTAAGAGCAGATATCAACATGTTTATAAACACCACTACTGTGACAAGACAGCTTAAACAACAGGTACCGGTTAGCAGGTCCTTAGCACTGCACTGTCAAGTTAGTAGCTTTTTGCCAGCAGAGGATAAGAAACTGTACTCATTTCTCCAAGTGTTTCTTAGGAGCAAATAACTCCATGTAAAGCAGATGCCTATGGTATAACTCCAGCCTCTGTTAGAAGAAAGGAGGGAAGCAATATGTCTTAAGAGGATAGAATATTCTAGCCTTCTATTGGCCTCTGCTAGTCTTCCTGTAGAGCAGTGGTTTTCAATCTGTGGGTCGTGACCCCTTTTTAACAATAAAAATACATTGAGGCATTAGGAAGGTTGAGAACCACTGCTGTAGAGAATAAGATCTAACCACCTGACTTACCCAAGGAGAGGAGTTCAGCAGGGATTGATAGATAATGCTTGTCCAAAAGACTTGGTCACTAATGTTATATCCATACCAAGACAAAACACCTGAACTATGCATGTATCCTGCTATAGAAGTGGAATTGAGAATAGGAATTCTAGAAGCCACTTCCTTCTTTGTACACTACATCTGATAATTAAGCCTCTTTACCTTTACTCACCTAGTGTAAGCATGCTTCATTTGATCAGCCCAAACTGAGAAAGTAAAGAACTTTTAAATAATGCTCTTAAGTCTCATTCAAAGGCCATCCAAAATAAGTGTACCAGTTCATCTTTGTCCTTTGAAAGATTTTCGGAAACTACAAATATGAAAAAATTTTACACCAATCAGCACAAAATGAGAAAAAGAAAGATTTTGTGTGTGGCTATTCTGGCTACCTTTATTCACTTTTATGGCATTACAATACTTTAAGAAATGATGTAAGTTGGGTGCAGTAGCTCACACTTGTAATCCCAGCACTCTGGGAGGCTCAGGTGGGTGGACTGCTTGAGCTCAGGAGTTCTACATCAGCCTGAGCAAGAGTGAGACCCCATCTCTACTCAAAGTAGTAAAACTAGCTGGGTGTTGTAGTGCATGTAGTCCCAGCTATTTAGGAGACTGAGGCAAGAGGATTACTCATGCCCAAGAGTTTGAGGTTGCTCTGAGTCATGATGTCATGGCACTCTAGCCAGGGTGACAGAGTAAGACTGTCTAAAAAAAAAGGATAGGGGCAGTGCCTGTGGCTCAAAGGAGTAGGGCACCGGCCCCATTTGCCGGAGGTGGTAGGTTCAAACCCAGCCCTGGCCAAAAACTTAAAAAAAAAAAAAAAACATAAAAGGATGTGATAACTAGAGCTCTAGCTCTTTGCCTATGTGAAAACGAACCACATCCTACCTGTGCAAGGTCCCGAAGGACTGTGGAGCAAAACCACTACACTAGCCCTGGAATGCCCCTGGTCTTCTACATATGAAAGAAATTCCTACCTGGTTCAATCCACTATTAATTTGTCTCTCAAGTGCAGCTAAGTATAGATATTATTTCCCAGACTTCTCCAACAGGAACATCATTTGAAATATACTGTCATTAGTCTAATGAGGAGACTAAACTCATTTCCAATGTATTACTGAAAGGCTGTAAATACTTTCAGCTTAAGGAATACTAATCCAATAAAGATAGAAATAATTTTAAAAACATAAATATTTAAAGTAAATATTTTATAGGCCTGGCACCCATAGCTCAGTAGTTAGGGTGCCAGCTATAGACACAGGCTGGTGGGTTTGAACCCGGCTCGGGCCTGCTAAACAACAGTGACAATTCAACAAAAAAATAGCTGGGCATTGTGGCGGATGCCTGTAGTCCCAGCTACTTGGGGAGACTAAGGCAAGAGAATAACTTAAGCCTAAGACTTGGAGGTTGCTGTGAGCAGTGACACTACAGCACTCTACAGAGGGTGACATAGTGAGACTCTATCTCAAAAAAAAAATTTTTTTTGATATAACATGCATAAAGATAAATGCTAATAACATCATTAAACTTATGGAATATTTAACTAATACTAACTGAAAGGTTTTGTCTAAAGAATTTCATCTTACCTACATTTAAAGATAGATTAGAGAGAGAGAAAGGAGATTCCTGATTACCATGAAACTCTATGCAATTTCTAGAAGACTGGACATTACGAAGTACTTCCCTTAAAATAGCTCAATTATCAAACTGGAAACATCTACATTTTTAATTTCTGAATACCCAGAGTCTAATTTTTACATAGTTAAGTATCACTTATTTTGCCAAAAGGAAACTGTATTTCTAGTTATTTCTCTATTATTCATATAAATCTTTTCTGAATTACCTCTTTAAACAGATAACTAAAAACCTAAGTTTCTCCAACAGAAATAAAAATCTGGACAATTTGTTACTGTATTTCTAATATATCCTTTTGCAACATTTCAAAAGCAAATCTTAATACTTTTAAAAAGAAATTTAAAACTCAGTTTAATTTCAAGAGTTTGTATAAGATAAAGAATGCAGGTCACATTTTACATTTTATAAACACCAAATACTTTGTATTATAAATACAAAATAAAGAAAAAGTGATATGCTATTATGAACAGTGAAAACATTATATAAACTTTAGAAGACTGCTTGATGCATCTTCATCAATGTAGTTTCGTGTCTCTACCACTTTTATTTATAGAACAAATCTCCATAATCAAATTATCATTCATGTTCATGCCCCAACATGGGAAGTGGTGGGTGAATATCTGTAGGAATATAATTTATTATCTGCTCCTCCACTCAGAAGTAGCTGTGTAAAAGGAGAGAAAAAGACACAAAAACATAAGCAAATATAGACATTTCATATGATAGCTAAACTTAATTAAATACTGATGATTTTCCTTACAAAAGGAATTATGGATGAGTAGTTAACTTGCAGTGAAAGTTAGTACTTACAGAGACCAGTTACATCAAATGCTACTACTATATTACAGTACTGTATATTAAAAGTAATCATTTAAATTTGGCTGAAGCAGAACATGCTAGAGTACTTTGTATGAAATATTTGCTAAGATATAAAGTCTGAAAGCTGATATAGTTTTACCCATTAAAGAAAATTATAGATTTTTAAAGAATAGCATTGTTTGTATACACATATTACAAATTATTCAAGTAGCCCTAAAACCTGTACTTGGAAGGAATTCTTAGGCAGTAAGAGCTTACGTACACATACATAAAAATAATTAAATAGTAATTCTTTAAACACATTTTATAATATAGATTTATTGCATATGATTTTTCCTGCAGGGAAATACTTTGACCAATTAGTCTGAAGTAGTGAGTTATGGACTTAATATTTAATTACAATATACATGGGGAAAAACTGCTTCAAAATCTCAAATTTTACTATTATTAAAGGACCAATTTGTTTCTTTTTTGAATGAGATGTGAGATTTTATTAATAATAATACTAAGGGAAACAATATAGAATTACAAATACCAGATAATTGAAACAAATAATTTTATAAACACAAACACCAGATGTATTCTAATATACTTTCATTTTTACCAAATAATAAATTCTTACCCCTGAGTCTGTCCAATCTACACTCAGAACTTTGTCTTCATGAGCAGCCAGATCATACAGAGGAGCCTTACAACTAAAAGATAAGAGTACTGACATGTTGTATGCATTTACAGTATTAAAACAAACACTATCATTTTCTGAAATTGAAAATTTATGCTTTTCTGAAAAATGTACATCTTTGCCCCTGTAGCCATTTAAGTCTTTTTTTTTTTTTTTTTTTTTT